TTTTATGTTTATCTAGGTATGTTTTTAAGGGAATGCTGGTGGTTTTTGGAGTTTCTCAATGTTATTCTTTTAATTTAATTTTCGACAAATTGCTAGTTATTGAGAAATTAACTAAATAACTTGTTGCTGACGTGGTTTAAATTAATTCTTCAGCTTATTTGGAGAATAATAAAATGGGTAAACCATGATGTATTCGATGATTTCGTCGATACGAAGATAACTTTTGCATATAATCTTATTAGAATCGAGCTATTATAAGTAAAATTTCAGAAAAGATACATGAAGTTGGACGTTGTCTGGAAACGAGACATTATATTTCCTTAACGGAAAAGATATATTTAGTTGTAAATTTGGCCGAATAAGATGCATCAATCGCTCAGTCCGAATAAAATGCTCATGTGTGGATTGATAAGGTAATGACGTGGAATTTAAACTTTTCTTCATTTCATACGTGTTATTTACGAGGCGTGAATAAATATATATTATATATATATTAAATATATTTCGTTAAAATTTTCCTAAATATATACTAAATAAATATTGAAAAATATCGTTATATTTCAAAAATTATTAAAACATAAAAAAATATTTCGTTAAATATAAATATATTTCGTTAATATATATTAAAAAAATGTTAAAAATAAATTTCGTTAATAATAATAATGATATATAATTTGTTATATTATCTAATAATACTTTACATAATATTTTATTTATTTAGTATATATAAATATATTAAATATAAATATAAATCACAAAATATATATTTATATGTAAAAAAGCATATTTTAGTAATGATCTTCTTCTTCCTCAATTTCTCGGTGATTCACGGCGACCCACCGAAATCCGAAGACACATCCGGACTCCGCATCTTGTCGTGCTCCCTTGACGTCCACCATCTCCGGAACCGACGACTTTTTCCAGCAATCCGTTTTCTTCCAGATTCTTACCTCGCTTTTTCCGGCGCCGAGGTGTTCGCCTCTGTTTCACACACTCACGCACAACTCAACAAGACGTCCTAGATCGGGCAGTTGTTCTCCTTGTCCGGCAGCAGCGCAAGGTGCAAAAAGTCAAGGGAGCACGACAAAATTGTCCAACTGATTGTATTAGCGGTTTATAAAATAGTGTTTTGTAAAATTGACTATTTTTAATTAGCTGTTAACGTGTAGAGGGCTGTGTCTCGATCTCCTATAGTTCAGTCAAAGAGTGAAAGCGACTTTCGGGGCAAGAGGCCGTATGTCAAGACTTCCATCATCGGATCGTGAGAGTAGGTTCGAGTTACTCCGCAAACCTGTCTTTAAGGACATCAACATAATTTATCATTCTTATATATGCTCTAACAATGTTATCAAAACCGGACCGGACCGGCCGGTTCGACCGGGAACCGGACCTAGTACCGGTCTGGTTTGAGTGTCTAAACCGCTGGGAACAAGAACCGGTTTCGAACCGTTCGAACCGGTACCGGTTCGACTGGTCGAACCGGTTCTGAAATTTAAAAAAAAAAGATCTTAATGAGATAAAAAAAAAAAAAATCAAACAAAAGAAAAAGAGTGAAAGAGTATTTTGATGTTTGATGAATTGTAATGTTAGATTGGATATATTTTGATGTTTGATGACTTTGTAGTTTGTATTTGTAATTTGGATTACCTTGCTTTAGATATTGAATTATTAATCTATTGTTTTAGTGAACTTAATTTAGTATTGCTTATGGTAAACTATACTTAATGATTTTTCAAATCTTATTTAGAAAAATATCATTATATGCTATAAAATTAATGATAAAAAGTATATATATATATATATATAATTATATATTATACATATAAAATAAATAAATAAATTGTATATTAGCTAAACCGGTTCGACCACTGGTCCGACCAGTGAACCATTGAACCAGTAGTTTCACCGGTTCGATGACCGGTCCGGTTTTGATAACATTGTGCTCTAACTTATGATTAAAACATATTGACTAAGAGCGACATTCAACTATTAAAACTCAAATCAATGTATAACTACGAAACTAAAAATGTTTGATGCACCAATCCTTTAGTAATAAAGATATTACATATTATTATGAAACATCTAAATATTTGTTCAGTTGGTTTAAGTTCACATAAAATACATACCTAGTAGCCAAAATGAAATAAAATATGGCTAGATTTTTAATTTTCAAACAGGAAGATCAAGCATACTTGTCTCTCATGTGCCGAATCAACATCATTATCTTTTACTTCTTCCTCTTTAAAATCATCATTCTCTATCCCAACTTTCGCTTTAACCTGAGCAATTTTCTTGAACATCCTTGAAAGTATAATACAAATGATAAGATATTAATATGACATTACAAGTAGTTCACGGAATTATATAGTTCAAAGAAACAAAAATTATAGTGGTAGAAATTTGAAGAAATTAATGGCATGAGTACAACCCAATTGATGATAAAAAAAAAAAAAAAAAAAAAAATGACATAAAATTGAAGAAGCTAGAACAACAAAGATCCATATCGTTCATACTTCAGATACCCAAAAACTTTTGATGTTTCGAGTTCTGCCATTAACTATAGCAACTTCTTGACATTATACTGAAAATTAAAAAGAGAAAACAAATCCAAAGAAGACTCCTTGGTAGTATCATATAAGCATTAAAATGTTACTATAAGATACCATGCCAAACTATATTGGAAATAATCAGACTAATAATCAAATTTCACATCTCAAAGTGTAAAAAAAATATTAATATGGATGATTAGCTAACTACCCTTAACCATATATCTTTGTATTCTCAGTAGAATCATAGATCAAGCCAAAGCATGTAGATATGCCCCCACCAAAGAGTGTCATGAACTTGAATAAAAAGATGACTTCTGATCTTTAACTTCATAAGTCCTTGCCAACATCTCATTCAACCCAGCCTTCAGAAAAAAGAATCAATAGAAGGAATTTAAACTCAGACTAATCTAATATTCTTATTTAGCTCTGCCTTCAAATTTCTTTCCTTCAGTATAATCTAACACCCTTATTCACTGAACAATTATAATACATAGTGACCATTTAGATTTCACAAACACACACAAGCATCCAGACTTTAAACTTAAGTGAATAACTAAAAACTCTTAATCACCATGAAGAACAAACTTACAGTGACTTAAAGTCAAATTTCAAGAAACTGGAAGAAAAAGATCACATATTCTAGAACAAAAAATATAAGATGACCATAAAACTATAGATAGATGATGACTAGAATTATTATGGGAATTTTGGAATATGGCTAAGATCTGGAGAGAACAACATCCTTGAAAATTACCTCGAGGACTTTTGAGAATTTTTTTGCCTTTGCCTTTTCACATAAAGCACCTTGGCCTTTCGAGTCGTCCCCTTCTAATTTGCCTCTCACCAGAGACATTATCCCTGAGTTTTTGCTGGGAACTCTTCGTCCGTTGGTCAAGCCAGTCCATTATCCATGGATTCATTTACAGTAGCATATAGCATCCAATCAATTATCCAAGCTATGTTTNAGAAAAAATTATACGATTAGGGGTTCTAATTTAAAAGAATGTTAGTTGAGCATACCTCTTATGGATCTAATTTTCTTCTCTTCAATTCATATATTTTTTCGACCATTATGCAAACGATTCCGTAGTTGATGCAAATCGGAGGGGCAAAGAGGCCTAATGCTGAAAATCTGAATGACAGAAGCGAATTGGATAGACTATTCAAGGTTTGGGTTCTACAAACTGAAGGTGAACAATGTTGAAGAACGCAACTTAAGAGAAAGAAAAAAAGGGTAATTAAGACTTTTATTTCCTATTATCTGAAATGCTAAATGAAAACGCTCTGAAAAGCAGCGAATTTGATTTTGGCGGATAGACCCCAAAACGCTGATCATAAAAGCTGTTTACCAAACAATAATATTAGCGGATTAAAATGTTCAAAACGGCTAATGGGCTGAAAAAGCTATTTTTGAGGCAAAACGCTATTAACCAAACGATTTGAAACACAGAGAATTATCAACTTCTGAGATAGAGAAGCCAAGTTATATGAGGACAGGGCTGAATTTTAGAGGATCAAGCTCTTGAGTCCTGCTTTAGACCATAAAGAGATTTGTGGAGTATGCAAACAAGACCCTTACTAGACTCAACTTCAAAACCAGGAGGCTCTTGCATACATATATATTTCTCAGTGTAATCGCCATTCAAGAAGGCATTATCCACATCAATTTGCTTGAGATCCCAACCAACAGAGATTGCAATAGATAAAAAAATTACGATAGTTGTAGACTTAAGCATAATCAATCCCTGGATCTTGTGTGTATAATCCTTGGCTACGAATCTATCCTTGTGTCTGGAGATAGTACCATCAGGCTCAATTTGAGTTTTTAAACCTATTTGCAACCAATAACATGAAATGCTTCGTCTCTTGTATTCAAATAGACCCACCCACCCCCTCCCACATTCTCCCTCTCCTCCTTTGTCTCCTCACTATCTTTCATGTATGCCCTTACTTAATTACTATTCTTAGAATCGCAAAAGTACAATTTTGTAAGCCCCTACTTATTTATCTTGGAATTGCAAAAGAACAATATAATCACACTCCAGCTTTCATGGAAATCGGGTATACAATATAGATAAATAAAGTCCAAAAGGCATGGATTGAAAATCCAGTATCTTAACTTTAACCAACTACATTAACCAACATTTCCTTAACTCACGTGAATGAATGAAGGCCTATCTTTTTGTAAGACGGGAGAGAGTACAACTAGAGCATCTCCAATCACTCGTCCAGTCTAAATTCAAGTGTCTACTACTTTGATGGATTTGAATATAATTTATGCTCCAATGGTTATAAAATATGGACTTCATCTTCACATTTTATTTAACCACGTTCATATTTGCATTATCTTTCACCATCACATGTACTTAATATTTGAAGTTCTTTTGTCACTGATTATGTCTATCCTATATGCCTATGGGGCATTACCAGAAGACTAACTATAGAGTACATCCTTAATTAGCGAACATCATAAAATGTGTGAGGGAGAGAGGGAGAGGGAGGGAGGGAGGGAGGGAGAGAGAGAGAGAGAGAGAGAAAGAGAGAGC